TCTTTACAGGGAGCTCTGGTAGCATAGTGGCTAAAGCACTTGACTGCTAACCAGAAGGCTGGCGGTTCAAACCCACCAGCCACTCCTCCTATCCGTAGTGATACTGCCTCGAAAACCCAAGGAGGGGTCGCTATGAGTCGGGGCCGACTCGACGGCACATAACAACAACAACAATCTTTACAGGAGCAGTTTAGCAGTTCTTTTCTACTGGGGAGTTGCTGGTGGGTTTAAACACCAGACGTCCAGTTAGCAGCTGAGTGCTTCACCATTGCACCACCAAGCTCCTTAAAGAATGTCTAGAACCTGGGAAATTTTTAAACAATATACTTGGAGATCCTTACATAGCAACACACCCCCATTGACTTTACCCCTTTCCATGATGGCACAGTATTCTACACTGTGGATGCACTCGCCCCTTTCAATGCACATTTTTGTTGTCCCCAAGTTTCTCTATTCCAAACAATGACAACACCCATTTCAAATCCTTGTCCCTCTTGTCAGCTTTCAGCCTCATGAGTTCCTTTCACATTCTCAGTTGGTGGGATTATCTTCTGCTTCCAGGAAAGAATGAGCGCCATCAGCTGAGAACTTCCGGTGACCCTACCTGCAAACTAACCCACATCTCACTATCCACTCTCTTTCCTGAGTAGATACTAAGTAAATATTCACTGACGCTTGGACCCAGGGATCCTCACTCCCAGTCCAGGGTTGTTATAACCCAGATATTTTGTCTCTGTGGGAGCTAGTCACAAGTGGGAGTGGGAAGACCTAGCTAGGCCCCTCACTTACAAAAGGCCTCGAGTTTAGACTTTTAGCATTATCTCCAAATGAGATTATTTATCTGTACATCCCTGTCTTTCACATGAGATTGTGCTAGTTGTTGTCCCTAGGCAGTGACTTTTAAAACGATCTCTCTGGTGATTATACAGTTCTTTCTATTTTGTGCATTTCTTTAAATTTCCAAAATAAAATATTAAGACAGGTGGTTGCTTTATTATAAATGAGGTGGTGATACTGCATGATGTTGCCATGTGAGGTAGAACATTGGAAGCAAAATGAAGTCAAGGGAGTCTGAATGACACAAAGTTGTCAACAAGACCGTAAATGATTTTTAAAGCTGTTTTTTCAAAAAGTCTAGAGCAACGTTATTTTGCCACAAAAATTTTGACATTTCACATCAGTGAAAAATGCCTTGATGTTCGTATTTTTGTGTGCTGATTTTTTTTTTTCCAGTTAAAAGCTTTAACATGCTATGGTTTAAGTGTTTAGAAGAGGTCGTGAATTTTACATTTGTGTTTTGGCATTGAGTGTTGTGTTGAGCCCACGCTTTGCTCAGCTTCTCAAAAGCCCCAAGCACATCTTCACTGTAAGTTATTAGGTGGGCACTGCTTGGCACAGGGTTCCGGAGTGTGCCGCCGTGCACCATCCCTCATCAGTGCTGGCACCTCTTGGTGTCTGTGTAATGGGAGAAAGGCAAGGATATGGTGGGAGAAGGGGAGAGGTTTACCCTTCCAAAGGGGCTCATCCCAGCTCCCCGACAGCCCTCGGACTCACCTGGCCAGCAACGTAGATGGGGAGAAAGACCCAGGATAACATCAGCACGAAGAACAAGCCCTGTCCAAGAAGACACAGTCAGATTCGGCTCCCAGCCCACACGAAAGTGGCATGCAGGTCTGCCTCTGTGCCCAGGGGTCAGCCTGCCTGGCGCCTGCCTCTGGCTCCGTCTCTCACTTACTGACTGGCTCACATTTCCTGGGCTCCATATTTCCATTTGTAAAATGGGGAGAAGGGTATTAGGTAGGGGAGGGTGGAGATAGGAGCCTGTGGTGACTCCTACCTGGGTTTCCTATTCAACTTTTCATCTAGACCCCCTTCATTCAGTTGCTCTCACCCTCTCCCTGGCAGTGGTCAAAACACAAGATGTGAGGTCAGGCAGACCCGGGTTCAAAGACTGGTTGTGGGGCAGGTTTGCACAAATCCCTGAAATTTATTCTCCTCATCTGTGAAATGGGAGTAAGAGGGTACCACTGGGTTGTCACGAGTAATCGGTGAGAAGATATCTTACAAGCACGCACTATCAGCCAGGCACTCCTCTGTACCATGATGAGCATTAGTTCATTCTTCTCCAATTTTATACCCAAGGAACTAGGGGTTCAGAGATGTTAGGTTGCCCAAGGTCATGCAGCTTTCAGTGTTGGGAGCCAGGATGTGAACCTAGGCTGTCAGGTTCTAGTCTGTAATTGAATCCCATAGATGACAATGTACTTAGGGCTCTAAGCACAGAGCAAGCATTTTAAAAATGTTCATCGTTATGAAGGTGAAGATCATTATTAATATGCACCCTCTGCTCCCTGATGAAAATCATATGCTGAATGAGCCCAGTACATAGGGGAGTGGTCCTGTCACTTGGGTACCTGAGGGGCAGCAGAAAGATCAAGAGCCACTGAGCCACATAGCTTTTGTGATATCCAACTGATGCTTAAAACACACAGCAGTAACCTCCAGTCCCTTGATAGCTTCTGAATCTACAAGAGGATTCTGAGTCTTCCTCTCCACACCCACTTGTTGGGATTGTGGCCTTATGGGCCCCCATCAGGCAAACACAAGAGACCTAGGACTTGCAGATCAAGACTGTGCACCAAGGCTCTCTGTTTACTTTGCTTTATTTTTATAAAGCATCATTCTGTTGTTAAAAGCGTGAGGCAGTCTCACAGCATCCACAGGATGTCCCTATTAGGTAGAGGGCAGTCTGCATAAGTAAGTACTCACGTTAATTTCATAAGCAGATACTGAGAGGCCCGCAGCAGCACCTGACCCCGCCAGGCCAACGAAGTGTCCACTTCCAACGTTGCTGGCAAACAGAGATGCACCCACCTGTAGGGAAAAGAACTTGAAGCCAGAGCCTGGATGACCTGCTCGCCACCTCCAGGTGCTTCCCTTGCCCCCAAGGGACCACAACAGAAGAACAAGTGGGGAAGACAGGGCCATCCCTAGCCTTTCAGACACTTGTGTAAATTAGAAAAAGACTCTCCTTGCCCAAGACTCTTTCACTTTCATCACCATAAACTGGCCCAGTAAATATGCATATCAGTGATGACTGCAACCTGAACTGCAGCCCCTAGGATCGGGCAGTGCATAACTTGAGCAGCATGGGGGGATGATGAAGGTACTCTAGAAAGTGCTTTGTTATGAGAATCAGGTGCCTGTGTCACGCCACAGCTCTGGTTCTAACTCATTGAAGTGGATAGCTCTTCTTGAAGAACGCTTTGTGATCAAGACCACACCCGATGACCCCAATCTGGGGGCCCTGGGAACCTGACCAAAGCTGGGCCAATTGTATTCTCTCTCCTGAAGGTTTGGTTAGGCTATTATCCTAAGTACATGAAAGAGCCAAGACTCAACCCCAAGTTTGTCAGTGGTAGGCTTTTTCCTAAGACGGACACAACAATCCCTCATTCTGCATACTCTTTTTTTTCATTTTTTAAAATTAGCATGTAACTTGTATACCATTAAATTCACTCTGAGAGGTGGATGATTCAATTTTTGATATATTCAAAAAGCTGTACAACCATCACCACTATGTAATTTCAGGACATTTTCCTCCCCCTAAAATGAAGCCCTATACCTATTAGCAGGCACTCTCTGTCCCCCCTCCCTTAAGTCCCTGGCAAATAGTCACATCTACTCTCTGTCTCTGTGATTTGCCTATTTCTGACATTTCATTAATTCACTATGGATGACGCCTCAACAGAAAGAAAACAAAAATCCTCACAACTGGACCAATAAGTATCATGATAAATGGAGAAAAGATTGAACTTGTCAGGGATTTCATTTTACTCGGATCCACGATCAACATGCTTGGAAGAACAGTCAAGAAATCAAATGATGTATTGCATTGGGAAAGTCTGCTGCAAAAGAACTTTATAAAGTGTTAAAGAGCAGAGATGTTACTCTGAAGACTAAGGTGTACCTGATCCAAGCCATGATGTTTGCAGTAGCCTCATTTGCATGTGAGAGCTGGACAGTCAATAAGGAAGACCATAGAACTGATGCATTCAGATGGTGGTATTGTCAAAGAATATTGAATGTACCATGGACTACTAGAAGAACAAACAAATCTGTCTCGGAGGAATACAGCCAGAATGCTCCTTACAAGCCAGAATGCTCCCTAGAAGTGACAATGGCCAGACTTCGTCTCTCATACTTTAGTCACGTTGTCAGAAGGGACCAGCCCCTGGGGAAGGATACTATGCTTGATAAAGTAGAGGGTCAGCACAAAAGGGAAGACCCTCAAAGAGATGGATTGAACCAATGGCTGAGATGATGGGCTCAGGCATGGCAATGGATGTGAGGATGGTACCAGACTGGGCAATATTTCGTCCTATTATACATAGGATTGTTATAAGTCAGAACCAACCTGATGGCACCTAACAACAATAACAGCAATATGCATTTCATGTGAATGGAATTATATAGTATGTGAGCCTTTGTATCTGACTTCTTTCACTTAGTATATTTCCAAGATTCATCCCTGTTGTGGATTGTATCAGTACTCCATTCTTTTTTATGGCTGAGTAATACATTATATGGATGTACCACATTTTGTTTATCCATTCACAAATTCTCTTGGGCATACACCTAGAAGTGGAATTTCTGGATCATTAGTAACTATATTTAACTTTTTAGGGACTACCAAATGGTTGTCTAAAGTGATGGAAGTGAAACTCTGAGACTTCCAGTTCAAGGCTTTAAGAGCCTGGCAGTTTCCATTTTTAACCCTCTTGGACTCCAGCTGCTGAGGCTGACAAGCCCAAGTTGACAAGTAAAAAGGCACAGTCCCGATGTTATCAAACAACATGGCAGGCCACTAATTCAAGTCCAGATGAAGTCCTAAGATCGGCAGGGCATGGCAGGCTGTTGAACAATGACTTGGCTATGTGCAGGGTTCAAGCATGTCAAAAGGCTAGAGACCATTCCCCAAGACTTCTCTTTATATACAGGAAGCAGACCACATTCGTAAGGCGGCTACTCAGCTGCTCACAGTAGATTCCACCAAGGAGTTGATTACCAGTCTCTCATGGGGAATATTACATCCAGTTGCCCAGACACTCCATCAGGCCCCACCAAGTTGACACACAAACTTAACTACCACACTTACCCATGACTTGTGAAGTAGAGTCATGTGTGTGTGTGTATGTGTATGTGTGTGTGTGTGTGTGTGTGGTGAGTGTGTATTTAGGGATGCCCTTAGATCCACTGTTGTTGTTGTTGTTATGTGCCATCGAGTCAGAACTCATAGCGACCCCTCCTTGGGTTTCTGAGGCAGTATCACTACGGAAGTAGATTTCCTCATCTTCTTTCCTAGGAGTGGCTGGTGGGCTTGAACCACCAGCCTTCTGGTTAGCAGTCAAGTGCCTTAGCCACTATGCTACCAGAGCTCCCTTAGATCCACTAGAAAAGGAAATATAATGGAGTTGTGTAATTTATTTGTGTTCTCAGCATCCATTCCATCTCCACTTTCTCCCAATAATGACCTCCAATTTTTCTTCTGGGTTCAGTTCTCTTGTTTCTCATCCTGTATACCCCAGCAGAGGTTCCACCCTGTCATCTTAGGCATTGAGTCCATTACCCTGGTTTGAGCCAATCAGAACATCAAACTACCCTGATCACAGTGTTTGGCTAGTGGATAGCCATGGGGCCCAATCAGAGATGAGCTGTTTGCCAGGAATACCACCTTGGAGGAAGGTGCTCTTCCCATACTGAGCTAAAACCTGAGGGGGTGAAAGGTCTGGAGCTGTGCACACCAAGTTGTTGGCATGAAAAGTGAACCTATCTGCGAACAGCATCCATCCAGTAGAGAAGCCAGTAGATAATGATAGATGGATGGTGGGGGGTTGGATGGATGGATGGATAGGTATGTTGGTAGAAAGATAAACAGACAGACAGATAGATAGATAGATAGATAGACAGATAGATAGATAGACAGATAGAAGATAAAGATAGATAGAAATAAATGAGGTCCTGCTGACATCACTTAAGTCTCTGTACTCAGCCATACCTGAAACCATCCCAACAATTAGATTTTCACTTAGGTGAGCTGATAAATTCCTTTTTGTTTAAACCAATTTGAATTGAACTCAAGCTTTCTCTAGTTTAGACTCTGACTTCCATGTCACATGAAACCAAAGAATCCCGAGAGAGGAGACCCTGGGCAGAATACCACCACTTGAAGGTTCTTTGAGAAGTGACTTGAATTGAATCAAAGACCACTTACTGGCCACCACACCATGTCCCTTCCAGCCAAGAAGTAGCCTTTCACGGTGTCTCTTTTGGTCTTCACTGTGGACTGAAACGAAGAAGGAAACTGTTAGCAAGCAGAGACATTCCAAACTGGCCTGGGCCAGGGATTGCGAACTGAGGATCCAAAGCGCCCAGATTTTCCCTCAAATATGTTTTGTTTGACACATGGTTTCAAAGAAAAGTTTCACTTGAATGCCTTTAGAGGAACCATAAACTCTTCAGACCAACCCAGCCCCACCCCTCCCTATTTCACATTTATGCCTACCGCACTACCCCACTAGGCATTTCAGTTTCAGACCATGGCTTTTCTAAGAAAGCTTATAATGGATGCTATTTATTGGGTGTTGCCTATGTGCCAGAAGCTATGTAAGCATTTTATATGCATTAACCCATTTTAATCCTTACCAATGCAAATGAGGTAGGTATTGTTAGGCCATGTGACAGATGATAAAAGTGGGCTGGAAGGAAGGTTGGGCATCTACTTCTGTAGGGATACTGCCTCGGAAACCCAAGGAGAGGTTGCTAAGAGTCGGGTCCGACTCGATGGCACATAACGACAACAACAACAGAAGCAGTCATATCTAGTGCCATATTCCTAGATAGTGGCAGGGATGGGAATCCAAACCCAGGTCAGCCTGATTTTGCAGGCCATGCTCTTAGCTGGCCTACAAAACCATCTTCTCCTGTTGAAGGTGTTCAAGTAGAGTATTTTGGCCACTAAGTACCTAGTATAAACTTGGATTAGTTGTTTAACTTCTCTGAGCCTCTGCGCAGATGTTCACGAGGGCATTCATACTCTGGGTGGGAGACAACACAAATGGTACCTCCTCCAGGCCCTACAAATTATCTTGCTAAACAAAACAGCCATTGTGGCTCGTTCCTGTTGAACCCTGACACAGGAAATATTTTCTAAGAATCAAGAACTCCTTGTGCTCAAAGGGATATGAAGACGGTCATCTAAATGCAGACTTTCTCAAACTAGTGATACATTGGAGTTACCTGGTTCCCTTGTGAAGAATCAGATCCCGGAGAACCCTACACTTCACTCTGACCCTTGGCCTAACACTGATCCTATATCTCTCTAACTCTAAAGCCCTTATTCTTAATGATCTCATCCAACTCAGTATCTTCTGCTAAGGTGGGGGAAGCAGAGAGAGTTTGGGCCCATGGTCTTTGGAATGTCCAGCACATTTTTTCCATTCTTGACCCTGAGGAGGAAAGCTGAAGAGTAAGAATTGAGAAATAATCCACAGAAGAGTCAGAAGAAAGTGGACACATCTCAGTGGACTATAGTTTTCAAGACCTTTCACCAGTGACCTGGAAACCACCCTATCCCAAAGGTACTGATCTCCTTACTATATAAAGACCTCCTGAGAACTGATCAGAAAAAGAGTAAGTCCCTGAAGTCTTCTTAAAACCAAACCATAGTTTAGCCTAACTAGTACAGAATGTCGGCCTTCAGCATTGTACTCTAAAGATCTCTCTGTATAGGATCAAATGGACAACAGCAACTCGAAAGGTTAGATAAGAACCTTACAGGGGAGTGAGTTTATGCTGAAAGGAGGAACGATGTGGAAAATGAGGGTGAGAATGGCTGCACAACTCGGAGAACATCCTCAATGTCACTGTGTAAAATTGAGCATGAATCGGTGTGTGTTCTGCGCTGTGTATATTCTCAAGAACAACAGCAACAGCACCAACAACATTTTATATGTGAGGCGCTCTGGTGGCACAGTGCCTAAGGCATGTGACTGCTAACGAGAAGGTTTGCAGTTCAAACCCACCAGCTGCTCTGTGGAAAGAAGATGGGGCAATCTACTTCTGTAAAGATTTACTGCCTTGGAAACTCAGTGGGTGTCCCTATGAGTCAGAATTGACTCGATGGCAGTGGATTGGGTTGGGTTTGGATATATATATATGTTCAGAAGACAGACTGGGCAAGCTACTTCCATAGTGATACTCAGAACTCATAGCGACCCCTCCTTGGGTTTCTGAGGCAGTATCACTACGGAAGTAGATTGCCCAACCTTCCTTCCAAGGAGTGGCTGGTAGGTTTGAACTGCCAGCCTTCTGGTTAGCAGTCAAGTGCCTTAGGCACTATGCTACCAGAGCTCCTATATATATGCACACACACACACGCACACACACATATATATATACCCACACACACAAGAACCCAACAAAATGAGAAAAACAGATGTCACTGAACTGCACATGTAAACATGATTGAAGGGGCACTTGCTTTGTTCCCTATATATTTACCACAATAAAAATATTATTTTAAAAAACAAAAGATATATATCCACAATACACAGAAATAAGTCAGTTTGACAGGGATATAAAAGCTCGATGACACAGTCTTGGTGAAATGTAGTAAAACAGAACTTCTCATACATGACTGATGTGTGCACAGGTTGGTACAAAACCTAAGGTGGGAATTCAACACAAAGTATCACATTACAAATGTGCATATACTTTTAACCTGACAGTTCCACCTCAGCAAGTTTATCCTACACTGTAGCTACATAAGGAACTCTGAGGGCATAGTGGGTGAGGTATTTGGTTGCTAACCAGAAGGTCAGCATTTCAAACCCACAAGCTGCTATGAGGGAAGATGAGGCAATCTACTTCTGTAAAGATTTATAGCCTTGACAACCCAATGGGGGTGGCTATGATTATAGCTACCTACATCCAAAGTGATGAGGGAACAGCGGTTATTTATTACAGCATAATTTATAATTGTAAAAGATGGGAAACAATCAAAATGACCCTCATCAGGAGACTGCTTAAATAAACACAGCACACTTCAGAACTGCCGTACCTAATGGAATGTGACTTGTAAGAAGCTGATGAAGCTTGAAGGCGCTGGTGTGGACAGCTTTCCAGGAGATGCTAAGAAGTGAAAAATAGGAGGGTGCAAGCCAGCATGTAGAATAAGGTACCTCCAATTTGAGGAAGAAGGCAATATACATATTCATGTTGACTTTGATTGACATAAAGAACATTTTTAAGACTATGCTAATGTATTCAAACACTAACAACAGTGGCTGCTGTGGAGGGAAGGATGGTGGGGAAAGTTCACTGAGCATCATCTTAAGTTGTTTTTGAACCATGTGACTGTATGACTTTTAAAAATAAACTTTCTTTACATCATATATATATATATATATATATATATATATATATACATACACATAGGCTTTAAAGTAAGGGAGATGTGTATTCTAGCCCGGTCTCTCCTCATTTACTGACAGGATAAGGAATGTTCACTTCCCTCATCTATAAAATGAGTATGGTAGTACAGGCGTGTATCAGAGATTTGGCGGGATTGGTTCCAGACCACTGCAATAACCCGAAAAACGAATACAGTGAGTCGCACTATTCTTTGGTTTCCCAGAGAATGTAAAAGTGTGTTTACACTATACTGTGGGAGCTCTGGTGGCGTAGTGCCTAGGGCATCAGACTGCTAATCAGAAGGCTGGCTTTTCAAACCACCAGCCACTCCTCAAAAGGAAGACTGGGCAATCTACTTCCGTAGAGATACCACCTCAGAAACCCAAGGTGATGTCGTTATGAGTTGGAATTGACACGAAGGCAGTGAGTTGGTTTTTTTTTTTTTTTTAGTAGTCTATTAAGTGTGCATTGTAGAAAAGTTTGTAATACTGTCAGAATTACCAAAATGTGACTCAGAGACACCAGGTGAGGACATGCTGTTGGGAAAATGGTGCCAATAAACTTTCTGTACACAGGGTTATGACAAATCTTCAATTTGTAAAAAACGCAGTATCTATACAGTGCACTAAAGCAAAATGCAATAAAACCAGGCGTGCCTGCACTATCTTCTTCCCAGGGGCATGTGCAAATTACACGAGATAGCAGAAGTGGGAGTGCTGAGCACAGTGTCTACCAGAGTCAATAGTCAATGGGTTTTCTAAACAGCCCCATTCTGAATACCCCATAACCTTGAACTACTTTCTTGCCCCCTCTCTCCTCAGTGTCTTAGATCCAAAATGATGGGCTTGGCTCAGGACCTCTGGCCTGATGGTGCCTTCTCTCCCCACCCCCCACCAACCTGGCTTACCCAGAGTCCAACAGCCAGGACAAAGAGGAAGTACAGAACCAGCACTGCAATGTCACCTGGCTCCAGGCTCCTCTGTGGAAACGCCTCAAGGGGATCCGTCTGCGGGGGTTCAGGACTGCTGGTGTCGCTCTCCATGGTCCTGAAGGAAATCTTCAACCCTGCAGAAGTGTAACTGCATGTCACATGGCAGAACCTGTGGTCACTCTCCTGACCTCATCCATGGCTGCCTCCCTGGGGCGTCCAAGCAAGACGTCACACTTGGAGGGATGTGTGATGGGGACCGAGTGAGTCTTTTTCAAGAAGGAAGATTCATCCATCCACCCATCCACTTATTCATTCAATAAATATTTACAATGAAGTTACATCAAATATACAGCTAATTTTCACCAATTCAGCCACTCAACTGGAAAAATATAAAAAGTGATAAAAAATTTAAACAGTACCACCCTCTTCCACTTAATAAGCACAAAACCAAGAGTGAGAGGAAAATGAGACAATTTCCATTTCTGAGGTACCTCACAGCTGAGTAAAGGTCAAACCAATGATTTTACCTGAGGCTCAACCATTAAAAAAAAAAAAAAGTCACTGCCTTCGAGTAGATTCTGACTCATAGCGACCCCTCCTTGGGTTTCTGAGGAGGCATCTCTAGGACATAGATTACCCAGTCTTCCTTCTGAGGCTCAGCCATACTCCAAAAACTCACTACCATCAAATCGGATCTGACTCATAGTGACCCCTCTTTGGGTTTCCAAGGTGGTACCACTGTGGAAGTAAATTGCCCAACCTTCCTTTCGAGGGGTGGCTGGTGGTTTGAACTGCCAACCTCTGGTTAGCAGTCAAATGCCTAGGCACTCTGCCACCAGAGCTCCTAGGGTAGGCCCTAGACACTGCAAATTTCTTCCAGTGCTGGGTTATTCACATAAAAGAACATGTATTTCATGGATTTACAAACCTACAGAGTGGACACTATAACTATCATCCCCAGTTAACAGATGGGAAAACTGGGGCACAGAGAAGTAACTTCTCCAAGGTAAGTAACTTCTCCAAGGTAATATTATCAGGTAATTCTTTGTTATAGGAGCCCTGGTGGTGCAACATTAAACAGTCAGCTATCGTCTGAAAGATTGGTGGTTCAAACCCACAAAGCAGCTCTGTGGGAGAAAGATGTGGCAATTTGCTCCCATAAGAATTATATCCTAGAAGTAATGAACCTCAGCCTCAATGACCCTGAGACCAGAAGAACTAGATGGTGCCCAGCTACCACTGCTGATCTGAAAGGTGTCACGGTAAGAGGTCCCAGGTAGGGTTGGGGAAAAAGTGGAACAAAACTCAAAATCACAAAAAAATAAAACATCAGCTTACTGGTCTGATGAAGACTGGTGGAATCCCCAAGACTATGGCTCTGAGACAGAACCCCTCAAGCCTGGAACTGAACTTAAACCCTATGACTCAACTGGCAGGCAAACGACAGACAGACCTGTAAGGTGAAGAGTAACATCAGGAGGGTATGCACTCATTACAACAATCAAGCAGATGAGATCAAGAAGACAGCATTTGCCCGGGGAGAGAGCTGGGATGGGAAGGAAGGATGAAGGGAGGAAGTGGGAAGAATGTTGTTGCATTGCAGGGATGGCAGTAAATGTTACAGAACAGAATGCGTATGGATGGTTGAATGGAAATCCAATTTGCTGTGTAAAATTGCACCCAAATCACAATAAAAAAAATTTTTTTTTTAAGAAAAGATTATATCCTAGAAAAACTTATGAGGTGGTTCTACCCTGTTGCTTTGGATTGCTGTGAGCTGGAACAGAGTGGAGTGCACACACAATTCTTTGTTATAGGTGTCTGTCTTGTGCATTGCAGGACGTCTAGCAGCATCACTGATCTCTACTGAAAAGGTTAGTAGTACTCATCCGCAGTCCAAAAAAAAATGTCCCCTGGGGAAAAATTGCCCCACCCCCAGCATTGAGAAGCATTGCTTTAGAGGCATAAAAGAGGGTGTCAACTTAGAGGAGAGCCTCCAGGAGGCGTCCGGTTGTCTGTGCATTCCCTTCCTCTGGCAGCTTTGAGCTCTCTAGTGCCGGGCCTTGCTCTTGTTCACGTTGATGGAAAGCTCACAGCTTCTCAGAGCTGGGACATGGAGGCTCCTCCAAGGAAGGGAAGACCCAGGAAACCATTGATCCATAGCATGTATGGAAAGGAAAGAAGGAAGCAAGAGGAGGAAGAGAAGACCCACGGACATGCCAGTCGTGGGCAGTCCCAGCTCAGACACTTGTCAGCTGTTCTGCGAGAGCAGGTAGCGGAAGTCAGAATTCCAACCTAGATCACCCTTCACCTCTGTGAGCCTCAGTTAGATCTAGGTTTGACTGTCATCTGTGAAATGGGATGATAGTGATAATACCTGCTCAAGATTACCCTAACTGAATCAGAGATCTGCAAGAGCCAGAGATCTGCCTGAAAGAAGGAAGGGGGGCTGGAGTTGGAGATCCCTTATGGGGTGGGAGTGGAGGCTTTTGGAGGATGGTTAGACCAGGAAATGCAGCTTCTAGAAGCTTGGGTAGAAAGGGGGCTAGACTGCCCTGAAGGGTTGTCCCAGGGGTGAAACCCCTAGTGACAGCTCTTACCCTGCTTCACAGGTGAGGAAGTTGAGGCTCAGAGTTTACGATCAGGTCTAAAGTCACACAGCTGATGAGTGCTAAACCCAGGAATCAAACCCAGGTCTGTCTGATTTCAGAATACGCATTTTGAATCACATTACCTTCCCCCTTCCTAAACAGGCACTTAGGGAAAGATGAGAATCAGGGGCATAGGAAACAGCTTAAGATGAAGTTCAGTGATGAGCTGGGGAGTAGGGGGCACTGTTCTAGAACTTGGTAGGTCAAAAGGGGGGGAGGAGGGAGGGAGGGAAAGCAGTGGGCTGGATGTGAGGCTGCCCACCCCTCAACCCCAGCTCTCCCCTCATCCCCTGCCCTCCCCTTGGCTCCCCCTTCCACGCCTCTGCCTGCCAGGCACAGAGGGGGTGGGAGCTGCTAGGCACCGATAAACAAGTTATTCATCACTGCTCTGAGGCTCGCAGGCCAAGCGGCCGGGGAGGCTGGCACCAACTCCAAGCTCTTCCCAGGTCCCAGGAAGGTGGGAGCCCAGGCCAGGAGGGACTTGGCTCTCTCTTCACGTGGAAATGAAAACATCAGGCAGAGAAGGGTGGACCCCAGTGCCGCAGCCAAGGGCCAGCGGGCTCATCGGATGAGCTTGGCTGAGAACCAGCCCTGCCCCCGCCCTCAAGGTGCCCCTTCTTCAACAAATACGTGCAGTGTGTTTAACAATGTTAATCTCTAAACTTCAGTGAGCACTCTCCCAGCTAAGTGCCTGGCACGCACTCACTCACATTTGTCATCTTGTGCAATGCTCATGTCAGCCCTGTGGGGCAAGCACTATTACACCTCTATTTACAGGCAGGAAACTAACGGAGACACAAAGAGGTCAGACTCATCTGGGTTCAGGGCCTGGCTCTGCCACTTGCTTCTAGGTCACAGTGAGTGTCAGAGGTGGGATTCAAACCCAGGTCCTGAACCAAAGCTCTTTGCATTGTCTGTTACCAGCTAGTCTGCTGTCCTTCCCTCCCTTCCTCCTGACCTTCTTTTCTTCTTTTTTGTCTCTCCTTCTTCCTTCCCTCTTCCTCTCTTTTTCAGTTTCTTTTCCACAATCATTGATTAGGCACCAACTGTGTGCCAGGCTCTGTGTTAGGCACTGGGGAACCAGTGGGACAAATATGTATTGGGCACCAGGGGTGTGCCAGGCCTCCAGCTCCAGCCCTCTCTTCTCTCTTTCTTGCAGATCTCTGGCTCTTGCAGATCTCTGATTCAGTTGAGTTCATCCTGAGCAGGTACTGTTATCATCCCATTTCACAGGTGACTATCCAATCTAACTGAGGCTCAGAGAGGTGAAGGGTGATCTAGGTTGGAATTCTGACTTCCGCTACCTGCTATTGCAGAACAGCTGACAAGTGTCTGAGCTGGGACTGCCCACGACTGGCGTGTCCGTGGGTCTTCTCTTCCTCCTCTTGCTTCCTTCTTTCCTTTCCATACATGCTATGGATCAATGGTTTCTTGCATCTTCTCTTCCTTGGAGAAGCCTCCATGTCCCAGTTCTGAGAAGCCATGTCAGGCACAGAGGACAGAGTGGTGAACAAGGCAGACATGGTCTCTGTCCTCACAGGGTTTTCATCTCAGCACCTTGCAGAGGCTATGTGCTCCCAGAACTATCAGTGAAATGACCTAAGGACCCTTCACCCCTTGCCCTGGGATTCTTTGCTTCCAGCAGCCTGGAGCGGTCAAGGAGGGGTGGTTCCTGCTCCACTTCTTGTGGGAGGAGAAGGCAAAGGATTGGCTCAGTTAACAGTAGTGTATGCATAGCGGGTGTCATAACAAGGGCTTTGTTCTCAAGTAGAACAGCCTGCCCTTGAGGTCCTTCTTGGCAAAAGAACAACAGGAAGCTTAGCTAAACAGAGACTGCTTCTCCCCCTCTTCCTCTTGGTCATTTACATAATTTGCTAAAGTAGATGTGAAAACTTTCCATGCCTCCATGCAAGGGAAAGATTGCAAGACAGGGAAGCTCAGGCCCCGGCCACCAGTGGGGTGGGTGTGCCCATTGCATTTTATTTCTTAGGTGAGTTGCTGGGTGAACTCCCACTGGTGTGGCCACATCCTATCCTGCAACTTGTGTGTGTCTGAAACATTTCATAATAAAAGAAAAAGATGAGAAGCAAACAGAACAGGATCCACAGCACAAGTCTCTGTGAGTATTAAAAATTAGCCCTGGCTGCACAGTTAAGCATTGCACTGCTAATCAAAAGGTTGGTGCTTCAAACTCACCCAGGGACCTCGTGGGAGAAAGACCTGACAATTCATTCCTGTAAAGATTATAGCCAAGAAAACCTTGTGGGGCAGTTCTACTTTGTTATACGGGGTTGCTATGAATCAATGATACAAATTAGCACTAAGTATTTTGCAAGGGTGCAGGCATGTTTATGGACAAATGTCAAGCACGTTAGAGATGGATGTTAGGGGTGTCAGGGATTGGCACTGGGGAGGGGAGAGAGAAGACAAAAGAGGATAGCCTTGCAGTGACCAAAGATG